CTAGTCAATATGCTGACACAATATAATGATATGGATTTGGTTTCTATGGCAGTCAAGGATGTTACTACAACCGGAACTTGTTCTTGAAGATGTTAGCCAAGACCATGCACGCAAAACGGTGAGGAATGATTGCTAGCTGCTTTTGTTATCGTACACATGCTTAGTAAAGCATATCACTTGACATAGGATTTGTTTTAGATTGAACCTTTTCGAAATCTTTATTTTATGTCTCAAAACATTGGATGTGAATACTTTACTTTTTTGCTTTATGATGCTACTTTATTCAGTTCATTGCAGAGTACATCTTTTTACTAAAAACATTTCTAAGCGCAGGTGACTATTGAGGATCATCCCCATTTGTCTGGGAAACATGCTTCTATACATCCTTGTCGACATGGAGCTGTTATGAAGAAAATTATTGATGTTCTGATGTCAAGGGGAGTTGAACCTGAAGTTGACAAGTAATTACATTTTTATTTATTATTCAGGGCATAGGACTTTACTATTTCAAGTTGGTTTCTCCTTTCCTAAAACCAGGGTTGCCATAGATTAATAGCTAGTATCATCTTATCTGATTACTCTTGGAAAATAATCATATAAGACGAATTAATTTGTATATACGTGCTTTCCCTGCTCTGAAATAAACCTACATTCCCTTTTTGGTGGTAAAGTTGGCAATGTACACAAATTACATCCATGCCATTAAAATAATTCACTTTTATTATTATTATTATCTAAGGCATGTGATATTAACCAATTTAAGTTGGTTTCTCCTTTTTTAAAATCAGGGTTTTCATAATATCATGCTTTTAGTTTAGGTTATTACTTACAAATAGAATACATACTAAAAGAATCATAGAAGATGAATTTATTTGTATAAATGCATTTCCCTTCTGGATTGAATCTCCTCAACGCATTATGGTGTCAAAGTCAGTGATTTCACTTGTTTCAGAGGAGGGGTGGGGTGACGTGATGCGTCACAAACATATGCGGGCGAGGGCCTCCAATTTCTATATTTTTCTTTGCAAGATCATCAATTCTCTGTGACGTTTAACAAATTGACATTTGTCTCCAACCGGCTTTCGCTAATTTTTCATGTTCAGATGTTAGATGTTGCACTTTGTGTGCATATTGAGTTAATTGATTTTACTCCTGTATTCCTATTCTAGTTTAAATAATCACAATGGATATCTAAAATAATATTTTCAGGTACCTATTCTTATTCTTGAAATTTATGGCCTCTGTGATTCCAACAATTGAATATGATTACACCATGGACTTTGATCTTGGCAGTTCTAGCTCCTGATTGACAAGTAATTTCTCGACCTTATTATCCTTCGTATGAATTGAATGTCTATGGCATCAACTATATTCTCAACGTTCCATCATATATCTGAAGATTTATATGTTTGTATATAATTTGGTTCAAATAAAAAGATCATCTTAGGTGAAAAATGAGAACTAATCTTGACCATTGATGTCACAAATCACAATATAGATAGACGAAATCAATTTTTTAAGTTCAAAACGCGGTGGCATTATTGTAATTTTGAAGAACTTTTAATAAAAAATCACTGATAAGAGTGCATCGGTATAGAATAAATGCATTTGTACAACTGAAAAGTGCTAATATGTATATGAAAATAAATTGTATACAGTTATAAAATTCTGATAAGAAATTTAAACACGTATGGATATATGTTTACACATACACTAGAATAAAAAGTTGCACAGTAAGCTTCCAAATATTTACAACTTCATCTCCGCGTTTATGATGTGAAATTGATATAATCCATTCATTTTAAAGCATGAAACATCTAAATATATTCTCATTTTTCTTGGGAAGGCTTCTTTTCGTACCCAACCTTGTATATAATCTGCAATTCATGAATGGATTGGTTAAATAGCTGAGCATTTTTTAAACTTCCCATTGTTTATATGAAATCCGGCATTACTCCTAATGTTGCCTTTGCATTTTTCCTTTTAAGCAGATCAATAGTTGCATATATAGAATGAAACTGGAATTGCTGGTTGTGGTGCACTTCCATTAATATATGGCCAAGGGGCACACTTGTATTCTTGTTGTAAAAAGCATTCACAAGACGTTTGCTTAGGAAGGAAAGGAGAAATAGTTTGAACAACAATTCTCATTGATGTCTGTAAATTTCAGTGTTAGCAGTTTGATATTTGTTGTTAGAGCTCTTTACAACATCTTTCCTGTTCTCTTTAACACACTTGAACTAAACCAAGAGTATTGGTGTATTACACGAGACTACAAGTAGGGGCAAACCTGCAGCGCTTGTGGTTTCTGCCCCCCCCAGAACTGAAGCCATGACTGTGGATATTGCGTATGGTTCCCGGCTCGTTCCTGGCAGCCCAGTTCTGTCTTTTAATTTGTTTTAAAGCCAGTACTATGTTACTCCGTATTACTTGTACAATGTTTTATATTCTATCATTCTATGGGTTGCGTCATAAATTAAAGATGGGCTGATCCGTTGCTTGGCATTGGAGGGGGTGCTTTTGGACCTTTTGGTTAATGGAGGGAGAGCCTTCTCTGTTGGTGAAATACGAATAAGGTTTGAAGCAGAGGCATCACCTTGATTATAAATGAGGTGCCTTTGGCTGTTGCTACTTGCTAGGGAGAGCTCCTTGGCTTGTCCCCGAGCAAGATCCCTCATCCCTAGATGTAATATAGTTATATAGGAGAGAATTTTAGTAGAGATGCTGCTGACTGCTGAGGTTGTGGACGGGTGGCGTAGGTACGAGGTGTTTGGAATCCATTCTGCTTCTGCTTCCTTTTTAAAGTAGAAGCAAAATCAAAATTAGTTTTCAGAATTTGGTCACCCTCAGCTTCTAAGGGTAGAAGTAAATTACTCTTACACTTTCACTCAAACGCTCTAACTTCTGTTTCTACTACCTGAAAGAGTAGAAATAGTTTTAAGAATCAGATCCAAACATGTCGTATCCATGTAGGTGATCATGTATGAGGTGACAAGTGAAGTGTAGATGTCTATTATTACGTTGGGTTGGGCCAGAGCTCTATGTTCTCTTAAGGGAGTGGTCATGGGTCCAACGGTCCAACCCCATATATCCATTTAAATACTTTTGACAAACAACGTGGTCTCCCACTCCTGTGGTAGTCGAAATGCTTTTATCATTGTCCCATATTGATTTAGGATCTTGAATAAACTAACAGATGTCGATCGATGTTAACCTATTACCTTCATTTCATCACTTGTCCATCATTCAATCCTTTAATTAGTTCATAGCTTTTATATTCTATTTTAAACTACTACGTATTATTTAAGTATTACCTTAAACGATTGTTTTTTAAAACCCTTTTAAGAGTGTTTGTGCTTACGCAAAGGAAAGAAAACATTGTGTAAAATATAGGGAGAAGGCTCAAAAAGGACATTAAAGTTATTTACGGAGTGCAGATAGGACATTCAACTTTTAAACGGACCAAATAAACACATGTGACTTCTTTGAGCTACATTTGGCCACTCACTAACGTTTGTCTTCAACGGTACCTCTAAAGTTGACCATTATTTATCCCTCCTAATTCTTTTAGCCAACCTCTCAAAAAAAAAAAAATCTTTTAGCCAAAATAAATAAATAAATAAAAACAGAAGGTGCTCCCACCCATTGAATACTCATATCCATTGACGTTTTTCCCGAATTTCACAAACCCTTGGTAACAGGTGTTGGCATTTTTGCAAAATGATCCAACTCTCAGCTCCCGGCCACTGCTGCGGTTTCAGTAGGAAGTGAATCCTCAAGCTTGGCTCATCAACATCCTGCGCGTAGGTCGAAAACCCTATTTCACCGGCGGCGGATCTGATTCATCTCATAATTCGTGAAATTCTTGAATTAGTCAAACCCCTCTGGCTGACTCATCTAATATTTTGTGAAATTCCTCTCGGCATAGTCAGCAATCATGACAGCATCAGTGTGCTCGTGAGACTCAGATCCAAATTGGGAAGATGAGATTGTTGGGCTTTTGGCCGGTGAGCAAAACTTAGTTAGCTTAGCTGTAAGCGATTTCTGTACTACTAGACTAGAAGAAGATTGAGGGACGACACAAATCTTTGGGTTAAACTTTTGAGACCAGAAATGTTAGTGAGTGCTCAATCCTTAATCTATTCCATTAACTTGAAATGAGGCTTTCATACTATGAGATCAGAAGAAGATTGACGGAAGGCATGAGACCAGAGAAAGATTCATGCGGCCACAACTGATTTATTCATTTACCCATTAACATAATGTTTGCTAAAAACAAAATCAATTTTCTTTTCTTTCATACTTGAATTGAATGACTGACACAGACCTCACAAAGAGGAAGATGATGGTGTTCACGAGAGAGGAGAGGCGTGATATAAAGGTCCGTTAAGCACCGTTAAAATAAAAAGTGTGTGGTGGCCAAATGTTATCCAAATAAGTATTTTAAGTGTTAATTTGGTCCACTTAAAAGCTAAGTGTCCAATATGCACCTTGTACATAACCTCAGTGTCCATTCCGAGCTTTATCCCTAAAATATATTAAGGCTCAATATATTGTCATATGTGCACAATCATATTAAAAAAGCTTGACACCATGATCAAATCCTTCAAAATTAACCAAAGATGGAGGGTTAAAAGCGAAAAGCCCAAAATTTGATGTTTAAGTTGTTTTTGCCCCCAAAAAACTACTTTTGAAAGATGCAGATTCACTTTCAAAAGAAAGAGTAAGACAACATTTTCACATTATTTGATGCTCTGTATTTATAAAATATCCCAATTAATTGCACCAAAATGACTAGCCTATCACCCTATATTCTACGGAGTATTTATTTCACTTTCGGTGGTACTTTTATTTAATTTACTAGTCTGTAGTAGCTGGAAGAAAAGAATGAGTAAGAACTAGTCCTAACGACCCAGCTCCAAAGCAGCGGCAAACAAGCCAAAAAATAGGGAAACACTTCCACGTACATATATAAACAAAAATGTGTTCTCCTACTAATTCAACTAAATCACTATTGTAATATTGTCCCAAAATATATTACAACAGCTGAAACGAGTGAAAGCAATGTCAATTCGCCATTTCCTATTCTCTATTGCTTTTATTAGTTTCTTATCCTCATCCGACGCTGGAGACTTGTCAGTATGTTTCATTGAATCTTACATTCTCCTTTATTCCAAAATATGGTTGTTTTTTCTTCCTTTTGATTTATTTATGTCAAAGTCTAGAATGGATCATATCAAACTAATGTAGACTTTAAAGATCGGATCAGATTTAACCAGATATAGCCATATAAGGCCTATTTGGTAATCATGTTTTCGGTTTATGAATTTAATCATACATTTTTTCTATCAAACGCGTAATTTTTGATTTCGTGCACTCAATTCTATAATAATCCAAATAAGTAAGGTTAGAGTTAATCACTTTAGCTATTTTGGATATAATTTATTTTTTTAATAAAATATATTTTAAATATAATTTTCCCATAATATATAATCACTTTTAGCCCATTGAACTATATCAGCCAGAACTTTATTAATTTCAGTAGAATCGGTCAATCCAGTTTTACTAAACGGACTCATAACAAACCAGACTAATACTCCATACTAATATATATATTTGAAATATATTATATTATAAACAGAAGAGATATTATTACTATTGTTATTGTTACTCAATAGTATTTTACACAAGTTGACTTGTGTACATCAAGTTTTAGGGGGTGTCCCAACCTCAACTAGGAGTTAAAATGAATTTTAAAAGATCAATGAATTTTGAAATCCGAGGGATTCTTGAAGAATTGTGATGGAATGTTTTTGAATATAGACATCCATCAAAATCCATCCAAATAAGTAGTAATAGAAATTCATGAAATGTTTGAGGACATCCTTATTTTAATGAATTCCACAAAAATTGAAATCAGGGACACCTGAATTCTGACAGATTTCTAAACTCCATTAAAATTCTCTAGAATCCAAATGGGAGACACCCTCTTAGTGACCATCAACAAGCTAGCTATTTGATTTTATTTATTTATTTATTTAATCAGTTACATTTTCCTACCATTTGTCACCTTTATTATGGAACATTTTTGAATTTGCTTGAGACAGTCCAAACATACAAAATCGGCCTGCCCTGATTGTATATATTGCAGGATGAGTGTGTGTACAGCCTATACGTACAAACCGGAACATACATAACGGCCGGGACCGACTCAAAAGTCGGCGTCACATTGGGCGACAGGACCGGAAAGGAAGTACAGGTGCCGGAGCTCCGGCGGTGGGGCTTAATGGGACGGGATCACGACTACTTTGAGGGTGGTAATCTGGATATCTTCTCCGGCAGAGGCCCCTGTCTCCGGCCGCCGGTGTGCAGGCTTAACGTCACCTCCGACGGGTCCGGCCACCGCCCTGGATGGTACTGCCAGTTTATTGAGGTGACTTTCACCGGGCCTCGCAAGGAATGTAGCCAGTCCACCTTTTACGTCGACCAGTGGCTCGTCGCCGGTGACTTAACGGCCATTCTTGATGGATGTGGCCGGCGGGATGTTACTTCCACGCCTCTAGTTGTGCGGAAGCCCATCTATATTGGCTCTGCAGCCTCTGCTTTTCAGTGATATGTAATTACGGAGTTTGTATTTAGTAATTACGGAGCAAAACAATAAAGAAGTTCCAATTTAGGATTTAGTGTTGATTTATTCCCTAAATGGGAGTTTTTAAATTTTAAGTTGACTATCGGTTGTCTAAATTGATTGGTACCAGATTTACCCTTTCCATTTAATAATTACAGAGTATATCTTTCTTAAATAGCTGTCCCGCACTACGATCGAGTTTCTCCTCTCTTATCTATTCCTTCCTCCAGTACCTGTCATATCTCCTCTTTCTCTCTACATATGTACGGAGCTTTTTAATTCCCATTATTTCCCATGGATTTCAAAACACATGCGATACTCCCATCTCGATCTGGATTCTGGCGAAACTCTTGTCTCTTGATTTCTTCTGTCAATTGCCGATTTCTCTTCTGCACCGTGAGCTGTTTTCACTTTTTGAGTTGTCGCAATTGAATCATCATAGAGGAGTCCCATAAAGAGGTTGAATCAATAAGGCAGTTGTTCCCGTTCCCTCCGGCCATGTGCCGTAACTCCAGTGATATACCGGTCTTCTCCGGCAAGTATTCTCCTCCTCCACCTCTTCTTCCTCATCCTCTCTTCTTCTTTTCTATTTTCTTCTCTTGGTTTTTTCCCCTACGTTCTATTGTTTCATTTTTTTTAGCATTGAGATTTAAAATGAAAATTTCTATTTTAGATCTGTAATTTTTGGATCGAAATATGTGAGGCTCCAACAATCACTTACATGAAAATTTTAGATCATATTTTTTAATTATTTCAGTTTATATTTTAAAAAAAATGACATACATTTTGTCTTATAATGACATTTTCAGATTGCAATAAAATGTCTTGTTTTTGGTAATTAATGTCATCACAAAATTATAATATCATGTTATTGACAATTAGTGCAATCACTTACATGAAAATTTAAGATCTTATTTTTTAATTATTTCAGTTTATAATTTTTTAAAAATTGACATGGATTTTCTCTTATAATGACATTTTAAGATGACAATAAAATGTCTTGTTTTTGGTAATTAATGTCATCACAAAATTATAATATTATGTTTTTGACAATTAGTGTCATAAAGTGATATATTTCGTATTATATTTTTGACAATTAGTGCCATAACATGGATGACAATATGTCCTTAATAAGTCCTAAAGATGACAACAATAAGCTCTAAATAAAGTTGTCTCCCAAAAATAGAGATCTACATAAATTTTGTCGGAGGAGGCGGTGGTGCTGCGCTGTCTGAGGAGTGAGGCCTGTGACACCGTCGATGATGGTGGTGATGCCGCCGGATTAGGGTGGCAATTCCACCGGATTAGGGCGGCGATGCCGCCGGATGAGGCAGCGGCAACGATGTAGATGGTGGCGACGCCGCGTAGACAGCAACAATGGTAACCGACGGCTGACACATCTTGTAGCGGCAACACCGTCGGCGGCAGCAGCAGCGTCTGGTGCAGACAGTGGTTGGTGTCAGGCAATGTGCGGCGGCGACAGCGTTTGGTGCAAGCAGTGGTCGTATCTGAGCAGAGCCAATCATTTATTGTAAACAGCTGGCTTTTATTTTATTATTCTATTTTATCTTTGTAAAAACTCAATTAGGGTAAACATTCATTAATGGTACTTACGTCAACTCATGTAATTTTTACTCCTACGAAATTGGACGGGACTTTGAACTCCTAATTTTGCACTTATGTTAAGTTTTACTCCTACTTAGGGTATGTTTGGTAAATGGCTGTTAGCTGTTGTTGTTAGCTGGTTGTGTCAGCTGTTTCCTAACAGCTGGTTGTGTTAGCTGTTTTGACCGGCTGGTTATGTTAGCTGATTATAGATAATTGTTTGGTAAAATTGGTTGTTTTGAAATGGCTGATAGAGTGTAAATTGAACCAGCCGAATGAATAAGCTGCTCCCCTTAGCTTCTTCAACAATCCATTTTTTCAGCTTTTCAAACTCAACAAGCTAATTTTAAAAGTCATTTACCAAACATCATTATGAGCTTCTTTGACCAATCAAACAGCTGAAATGGGTCAAACAAGCTAAAAGCCGACTGATAAGCCATTTGCCAAACATACCCTTAGAGAATTTACTCTTTGTATTTCATTTGGGAAAACTACCTTATACTCCGATCGGCGATCCGTATTACTGAAACTTATGACTTTTCCAAGAATATGACCATATATCTTTTTGATCGTGCATTCGCATGGATGACCAATTAAATTGAGAATCACATACATGGACGGTTGGAATTGCTAGAATAGAGTCCCGTTCGAGTCAGGAAGGCCTGACCGGAAGCCCCGTGCGGCCTTCCCCTTTTGGGGGCCTTCCCGGTGGAATTTTTTGATGAAATATTTTGAGCATGTTCCTCATCAAGTCTAGTTTATCCATACCAAATTTCAGCTCACAATTTGACCGGGAAGGCAGTCAAATAATTTCTTGAAACATACTGGGCATTCTGCGCATATATAAAGTGCAGTACGTTTCAAGAAATTATTTGACTGTCTTCCCGGTTGAATTGTGAGCTGAAATTTGGTATGGATAAACTAGACTTGATGAGGAACATGCTCAAAAAATTTCATCAAAAAATTCCACTGGAAAGTCCCCCAAAAGGGGAAGGCCGCACGAGGCTTCCGGTCAGGCCTTCCTGACTCTGCTAGAATAAATAATCAATCATGCCCGCATCTTTAATGGGTAAATAGTTGATTGTACCCCATAAAAAATGGACATACATGTCATTCTTATAGACAACCCATGAAGTTGATGTGGATCCATATTCTTCCAAAAAAATTAGGCTGGAATAGTACCCTAAGTTTAAGCAATTTCTTTCCTATTCACAAGCCACATCATATAACTAAAAACTAGAAGTGTGTGGGATTTTATCCCACACAGCCGAGACTTTCAGCTCATGAAGCAGATGAGTCTCATTCGGGATAAATTGAGAGGGTGTTTTAATAATTTGAATGACACTATCTTGGGCCTTAATTCAAGGGCCATAAATGGAAAGTCAATCTCGGGCAAGGTGTATGAGCTGCTAAGGGTAAAGGGTGAGACTAGGACTACGATGAGCTTCATTTGGAAGTCCTATATCCCCCATAAATTTTCCTTCAATGTATGGTTGGCTTTACGAAACCGGCTTCCTACTCAGGATAGCCTCGGTTATTTGCATATAGTAAATAGATGCGACTTATGCAAGGGTGGTTTGGAAACAATACCACACCTTTTTTCCAATGTCCTTTTACATGTAGGGTATGGCAAAGGATCAGGGAATGGATGGGATTTAGTCACCAAATGACCACGCTACTCAGCTCGGTCAAATGGATAATAAAGACGCACAAAGGTTCGAAGCTGAAGGCCAAAGCAGCTAGACTGGCATTTTGTGCCGCAGTCTACTACATCTGGCACGCTAGGAACGCGGCAAGCTTTGATGAAGTAATGAAGAGGGAGGAGGACATTGTTGCTAAGATCAAGATTGTCGTATATCGGATACTCTTTAGTATCTACCCACATGATTTGATCGTTTTTTGAGTAGAAGGTCGCGGCATGGATATTATGGATGTCACGGTGTGGACAGACTGATACATGACTGTTTGGTGCGCCGAGACATGGATATTTTGGATGCCGTGTCCTAGGCACTCGGGACACCGCAACATGGACATCGTGGATGCTACGGCATGAAGTATGGTTTTGGACTTTAGGGTGTGTGCATCTTGCAACACCTTTGTACTTTGTTTTGATTTTTAGCATATGATATGTGTGCGTGCATGTGCAGCACAGATGTATTTTTGAACCTCTTGATGGGCCAAGTATTATACTTGATTATTTTGGCATAGAATAGATCGAATAAAAACCTCCTTTCACCCTCATATTATGTGGAGGTGGGGGAGATTTTAGGAGATCTAGGATATGTGATGTATAATTTTCTGGGTGTTAATATATATTTACATTTCATCCAAAAAAAACAGTCGCACACTCCCACGTACTTCTCTTCTAGCTTTCTTCACTAGTAGGAAAACGGTCTCTTAAAGTGCATAAGTAGCGACACATTCTTAAAAAGTGCTGATCTTGTGTATGTTTTCTCCCACAACATACGCTTTTACAAAGCACTCCTAAGAGCATCTCAAATGCTAAAACGTTAACGGTGCATACGTGGCATGAGAAATAACCAATTAAAAAACAATAAATCCAATATCTCTCTCCTTCTTTCCACGGTCTTATGTGTTTATGGTAAGTTTTTTTCTGCAATGTCAATCACAATGTCTACATCTTGACATTCTGCTTGACATTGTGAAGAAAAACTTACCAAAATGATGTAAGATCCTTCAAATAAGGAGAGAAATATTATATTTATTGTTTTTAATTGGTTATTTTCCATGCCACGTATGCACCGTTAACGTTTTAGCATTGGAGATGCTCTAATATGCATCGTAAACAAGACACATTTATAAAGGCCAAAATTATGGATCAGATCATCTTTTAATTTGAAGTTCTTATGCGATTTTTTAAAACTAAATTAGATTTTTCAATTGAGAAAAGGTTTGATGACTTTGATCAATATTTTTGGATAAACTAATTTTCTTTATCCAACATACGGAGTAGTAGTAATTGTATTAACCAATTTTAATACGGAGTAATTTTTTTTGCAACACCAATTTTGATAATATTGAAATCTCTTAATTGATTCATGTGCCTATATAATGGATTTAAGTATAAGGAAGTACTTCATACGGGTCCTATTTTGAATAAATTACAAGAAAGAATTAAAAATTACTCCAGGGCACTCAGTTTAAAAAAAGCTTCAAAGTTCGAACGCCCTAAATTTAAAAAAAAAAACCCTAATTGACTATGGGAGTTTCTGGATATGAATTTTAATGAAGTTTAGAATTTCATCAAAATGTGGATATCTTCAATTTAGATACTGAAAATCCATTATCACCGCAAGACACTAAAATAGATAACATGTGTTGGCGTGTTGCTATTAGTTTTCATTGCTTTATGGTTCCTATTGCTATTCAAATATGTAACATTTTGTAAGAATTATAAACAGTACTCTATCCGTTCCAAAAATATTAGCCAATTTAGGGGTGGATCCAAGAAAATTTTGGTAATTGGGGCACTTATTAAGAAAAAGTGGAGAAACATTCAAATAAGTTGTAATTTAAGTTGAATAAAAAAAAAGTAAAACCGCAGTTAAA